CTGGCACCCAGATCACTTCATTGAGCTGAAGTTGTCTGGGTGTCTATAGTGGTCCTTTAATTACATACAGTAGGGACCTGCAGGGTCTATCTAGCTATTAGCAATTCAGTAGATATGAAATTCTAAACTTCACTGAATTTGCAATAACGGAAGTGTAAACATTAGATGACTCTTTCTAGGAAGTGTTTAGGAAGGCTGTGTAAGTCATATGCAGGGAGGTGTGACTAGGGTTGCATAAACAAAGTGATTTAACTCCTAAATGGCAGAGAATTGAGAAATGAGACCGCGGGACATTATCTATACACAAAAATTGCTACATTAAACTAATGTTGTTTTAGTGACTATAGTGTCCTTTTTACTTTAGTTAATTAGTATTGTAATGAATGGTGAATAATGAATAGATCAACTTTGTGTAATTTAGGATTGTAACATTTAGGAAGAACCAGTCTGCCCAAGATTAGTGAGCGTTACACCCCCAAGCAGCCACACTGGGGCAGATTCTAAAGATTTCATAAATCCTAGACCAAAAGTCTCAAAAACCCAAAGATGGCACTATTTCCCCATATAGGAACTTTATCATTAGGTATATTGTATATTGCATAAGTGTTAAGGTAGACTATCAGTTAATTATTTGTGCTAGGATAGTATAGGGGTTAACGTTTAGTGAAGTCCCTTTTGGTGTGGTGTAGCGGTTAAGAGGAGGACTTCCATTTAAGAGCAACACAGAGACAAACATGTCCTAATGCTGCCCTAGTTTAAAGTTTTAGATCTGAGTGGCAGCCTTTTCGACTGCTGTTATTAGAATAGCAGCAGCTCAGCAGTATAACTCACACTAATATCAGGCATTAATGTTCCTGTTCTACCTGAGATTGGGGCCCACAGATTGTACAGATATGAAGTGTGCATTATTACTGTTTGTTAGGGAAATATTTTACAACTTCACTACCTATGCAGCAGTGACTTTGAAAAAAGTGACTTGTTACTGTCAGCGCCTACTAGTGGATAGTGTGTGTGTGCGTGTGTGTGTGTGTATGCATGTGTTACAAATTGTATGTAACAAAAGATGCATGTGTTACAAAATACAATTTCAAGTGTTGCTGTTATTCTTTCTGTGCCTGATTAAGGTCAGCACAGCTTCACATGTTCATGTAAATCAAATAGTGTAAGATCACCCAGGGAACCAGCTGCTACAGCAAAATTTATTGAAAGTTTGTCCTGATTCTAGTACAGAAATTATTATTCATATGTCATTTCCCTGCCATCGAAGTTCATCCCATCTTTCCTTCAAATGCCAAGAGAATGCCAAAAACTATAAGGTCATTCTTACATAAAGAAGAATTTTGTGAATTTACAGGTTTGAGACATTTTCTTAGTATAACAAATACTGTTTGCTGTGTGTACTGAATTGAGTAGCATCCTAATCTGTGTACAGTAGCAAGTGGTTATTGGTTAACCCTTTCAGTGTGAAAATAGAACAACCATTGCGAAACACTATAAGCTAACTGAAAGTTATAATTGGAACTTCCTATTTAACTCCATGTCAATGTTATATCTATATCATGCATTGAAAATGTCTTCCAAATAATTTTAATAAATAAACAAATAACCGTCCTATATCACCATTGTTTCCAGCAGATCCCAAGAATTGGCAACTCCTCCAGTTCCATCTATAAAAAACAGGAAATTAGTGATATTTCACAGCCAATCCTGGTCCTCATAAAGAAGAGATATAGACATCTGCATTGCCGGAGATCATGGCAAATGTACATCATTATTGTCATGTGCATGTAGTCCCACTCCTTGGTATTTGCTGATAGGAGTTCCCATTAACCCCTTAAGGACACATGACATGTGTGACATGTCATGATTCCCTTTTATTCCAGAAGTTTGGTCCTTAAGGGGTTAAATTCAATAATGATTCTGTTTCTTTTTCTTTTACATAAATGAGAAGCACACTATATTTCTATGAATGCAAATGTCCACCGATGTACAGTTCAATGGAAAGCAACGGCCGGCATGTACATACAGCTTTACTTTTCCTATTTCAAAGCAGTTTCTAAGTCTGGTGTTTATTTCCTCAATGAATCCTGATGCCATTTGTTTGATATTAATTACTTCACTTACATTGCCTACTATACAGCTATTCTACAATAGAGAAAAAAAATGGCCTTGGCGTTTTATTTCAAATCTAATTACTCTGTATAAAACAAGAAAAAAATACAACAACAAAAAAACTGGAGTAATGTAAAGATAACATTTAATTTTACTTAATGAGTTAAAGACACATTCCAACACGTCATTAATTTGTTTATGTTGGTTGTTTTTTCAAAATGGAGACTAATAAACTCAGGCAGATGCTCCAGCAACATTTTAAACATACCAGCTGTACAGAGAATAATTTCACAAGTTTAAAATGATCTCCAGATACTGAAATGTATTTTGTTGTTTTGCATTATGAAATTTTGCTAACAGAAAAGCAAGAAAGACAGCAGTTATTCCAAAGGCCCAAAAGACACAATTTACTTGAAATATCTCTAAAATGGTGGGTGGTAGCACTGAAACATGGCTGTGCTATACTATATAAATACCTTTCTCTGTCTCATTAGAGATAATGCCTTACTCATTAGACATTAGATGACTGTGTGACTGAACTGTTTGTGGGAGACTGCGTATGACTGTGTGCATGTAACTATATGTTACAGTGTGTGCGCTGTGTGTATATTACTGGGTTTATCTGTGTGACTGTATGTATGTGATTGTGTGCCTATGTGTCTGGGACTTGTGTGAGTGTATACCTGCGACTGTATGTGATTGTGTATATGTGTGACTCTGCGTCTGACAGTGAGCATCTGACTGGGTGACTGTATTTATGTGACTGTATGTGACTATGGATGACAATGTCAGTAGTATAAAGAGGATCCAGACAATCTAAGTATCTTCAAATGTGTTTATTGGGACAAGTGAGACATTGCAACATTTCAACCTCTGAAAGGGTCTTTGTCAGATTAAGAAATAAGGGCAAAGATACACAAGAATTAACATGGTTTAAGAGATATACAATAGGATGAAAATGGTTAGGAGACACACAAAGGTTTAAATACTGGATCAGAGCATCTTCAAAATGTTTGTGGGGTGTTCCTGGTATGCAGTGGTTAGTACCTACAAAAAATCATCCAAGGAAGGACAACTGGTGAACAGGCATCAGGGTCATGTGCACCCTAGGCTTATTGATGCACATGGGGAGTGAAGGCTAGCCCATCAGGACAAATTAAACAGAAGAACTACTGTATCTCAAATTACTAAAATAATGTAATACTGGTTGTAATAGAAAGTTGTCAGAACACACAGTGTATCACAGTTTGCTGTGTATGGGACTACGTAGCGGCAGACCGCTCAGAGTGCTAATGATGAGCCCAGTTCACCAGTGAAAGAACTTTCAATAGGGTCTTGAGAGTCAGTACTGGACCATGGAGCAATGTAAGAAGATTGCCTGGTCAGATGAATCACGTTTTCTTTTAGATCAGGTGTATGGCTGGATGCATGTGTGTTGTTTACCTGGGGAGGAGATGTCAGCAGGATACACTACAGGAAGAAAGTACGCCGTTGAAGGCACTATTATGCTATGATCATGTAGATAAAGAACAAAGAGGCAGTGTACCTCTAGGGTTGGAAGAAGACTAATGTGAGCCTGGACTTCTAGCGTAAAAAATTCAAGACACAGGCTTATCTAAAAGGACTACACGGTCCAAAAAATAATAAACAAGTTTATTAATTATCAATAACAACAAAAACAAAAAAAAATTGAATAAATTTAAAAACAAATACCAATATGTGTGTTATAAGATCAGTTCTGATTTCACAATCAATATATGTAAGCTCAGCTATAGCGCACGTCTGCGCAGTAAGGGGATGACATGCAGGTGCTACTGATAATGCATGATAGAATGGGGCACAGTATAGTGTGCTACAAAATGGGTTGTCCCGCCTTTCAACCCATCTATAATGTTACTCAAAATATCAAACTGTAGTGATACTTAGTATGTAATCTAAGTGGATGTCGGCAGATCAAAAAGATTCTACACAGCGTATTGAAAGTGTGAGAGACTAAATACTTAAATTGCACCCCTGAAAGTGTATCATTAAATCAGAGGGTTCCAACACTAATAATCGATAAATGATGGGCTATAATGCCTAATTGTATACGAGGTATGGTAATCGGCTAATGCCTAATTGGGTTGGAATAGTACAAGAGAGTAACAGAATGTTGGTGCAAATTAGAAGAAAAAATCGACGATAGGAATGAGATGGTATAGAAACAGATAGATGACTGTACTGGCAGGACGCTGAAAAAACTGCACTATAGGTTGAAAGTATATGCTGGGCTGTCTAATATAGTAAAGAGTAGACAGAAAAGGGCTATCTCTCCAGCTAGCACTCCACCCACCGTGCCTTCGAGGGCACTTAGTCTCACCCCGCTAAACAGTAAGAGTAACACAGAAATCAGAAGATAAATAGCCTATTTGATAATGGAAGACGGCATGAATAAAGCTGTGGAGACCCCTGACCCTCGCGTTTCGCCCACTTAGCTCATCAGAGGGGAACAGATCAGAGGGAAATGCCGGATTTAAATAAGGAAGAGAAGGAACTGATTGGTTGAGAGCACTCATTGCTGATTGGGTGCCAGATCGTGACGTCATAAAGGGGTGTGTCGAATCCGGCCGTGAAAGAAACTTAACCCCTTGAATAACTAATGAATAGTTGGGTAAAAAAGTAAAAGGATCTATGTAATTAACGATATAAATAAGCATAAGACTAATTGTGGTTTGTAATAAAACGAACAATGTAGATAGATGTACCGGAAAAGAACTATGAATGCATACAAAGAAGAGACACAGAAATTTTTCGGAATGGTAAAAATATATGTTTAATATCATGGCCCAGGAGAATGAATGATGGTTATACATTCACTAAAAAAGTGTGAATAAACAGTACGCATAGTAGGAAGCTTGCTGAATGACAGGTGACTATCCCTATAGACTGTGGGCGATTTGTATGAACGATAGAAGGTTGATTTAGTCTTACAAGAAGGGGTCACAAGGACAATCTTCAAAATAAGATGTATTAGTAGTAGTACAGCAGAGCGGGATATTAATCTGTATTGTTGTTTTAATAGAGAGAAAAACTTAATTATTTCAGGCAATACCACGAAAGGACTCTAAGGTCCAAAGGGATGTGCATATGCAGTACAAGACGTTAGAATTAAGGCTTAATAATAGTGTTTCAAGTTGTATTGCACCAGTTGCACAAATTGTGATAGGCCATAGTTCAAAGCAGCATGACCTTATTTGAAGGTTGTAGCAAGCCAAATGTGTGGCACAAATTGATAAGTCATAATTCTGTGATGAATGTTAATGAGGCACATTGCTTGGGACGCTTTGTATAAACTGAATAATTAGAAAGAAAGACTTTTAGATGACAGAATGATGTCAAAGTTATCGAGGATGATTATAATTAGTCTGTATGATTACTTTGGGGGATGCCGCATTGAAAAAAAGGGGGCTGGTGACTGTATATGGTGCCACAAAAGGGGGCTGTGATGTCCCCTGGGAAATACAATCATATATAAAATTTATGTTAGGCTATGTATACCACGCAAGTGTAATATTAGAGTCTGATCCGTGATAGTTGTTGTGGTAAATGTCTTTGAAAATAAAATAAATTGCTACAATACATTATTTGTTGATATAGGATATGTTCCATGAGGACAAATACAGAAGTCAATTGACTGATAGTGAGATGATCTCGGAATTAGCGAAGTTATTTGTGAATGAACGGAGTGAAATTAAACTCCTCATTCAAACCATTGGGAGCCAAGGTTTTGAAATGATAGATCCATCTGGATTCTTTCATTAACAATATTTTATTAAAGTTGCCCTTTCTAGAATTCATAGTAATATTTTCAATAGCCTGAAATATCAGATGACTTGAATCCCCCCCATGATGGAGCCTCACATGATTGGATAGTGGAGTGGAGACATTTGGGTTTGAAATTGAACATATGTGTTGAAGAATCCTTCTTTTAAATTGTTGGTAGGTTTTGCCGATATATTGGGTTTTGCAGCTGCAGGTTATGAGATAAATCACTTTAGTGGAATTGCAGTTGATGAATTGTTTAATTTTGTATTCCTTCTTTGTACTTGTGCTTGAAACAGTTTTTGAGGGTTGATGTGTTTGCAAGCCTTACAGTGGCCACACTGGTACACCCCTGAAACAGGGGTTAGCCAAGTTGGATTTTGGTTGGGTTCTAAATGACTATGTACCAGATGGTCACGAAGATTCTTAGCCCTACGTGCAGTAATATTGGGAAACTTACTGATGTTACCCTTAAGGTCTTTGTCGTAGTTGAGGATTGGTCAATTCTGAGACATGGTATGTAAAACTGGTTCCCAATATTGATCAAATGTACCAATGCAGCGGATGATATGTCTATTGGTGTGTAGACTTTCACTCCTGTTCTTAGCCGCTGCTTGTTGGTACGCTCTTTTCAATAATCTATTAGGATAGCCTTTCTGTTTAAACAATGTTCGCAGCTTTTGTGCCTCAAGATGAAAAGTTGTGTCATTAGAGCAATTGCGTTTAGCCCTCAGGTACTGTCCATATGGAATGCCCGATTTCAATTTGATTGGGTGATGACTGTCCCAATTCAACAGGCTATTGGTAGCTGTTGGTTTACGATAGAGCTCTGTTTCGTATTTAAGTATTTAGTCTCTCACACTTTCAATACGCTGTGTAGAATCTTTTTGATCTGTCGACATCCACTTAGATTACATACTAAGTATCACTACAGTTTGATATTTTGACTAACATTATAGATAGGTTGAAAGGCGGGACAACCCATTTTGTAGCACACTACACTGTGCCCCATTCTATCATGCATTATCAGTAGCACCTGCATGTCCTCCCCTTACTGCGCAGACGTGCGCTATAGCTGATCTTACATATATTGAGTGTGAAATCAGAACTGATCTTATAACACACATATTGGTATTTGTTTTTAAATTTATTCAATATTTTTTGTTTTTGTTGTTATTGATAATTAATAAACTTGTTTATAATTTTTTGGACTGTGTAGTCCTTTTAGATGAGCCTGTATCTTGAATTTGTTACACTAGAAGTCCAGGCTCACATTAGTCTTCTTCCAACCCTAAAGGTACACTGCCTCTTTGTTCTTTATTTATTTCCACTAGGGGTTACCCCCCTTTCCATTAGTGTACCTTGGCTGTATCCAAATAAGTTCTTTATGATCATGTAGATACTACTTTGACACGTACCACCAACCTAGAAATTATTGCAGACCACATACACCTCTTCATAGCAATGGTGTTCGTTGATAGCAGTTTACTCTTTCAGCACAAAATTGCAAACAATGTTCAGGAATGGGTTTAGGAACATGACAAAGAGCTCAAGGTGTTGCCTTGGCCTCCAACTTCCCCAGATCTCAATCCGATTTAGCATCTGTGGGATGTGCTGGAACAACCAATCTGATCAATGGAGGCCCCATCTCACAACCTGCTAATGCCTTCCAGATACCACAGGACATGGTTAGAGGACTTGCAGAGTACATGACTGGATGCATCAGAGCTACACAATATTAGGCAGGTGGTTTTAATTTTGTGACTGATCAGTGTATATATATATAGTGTGTGAAATGTCTGCATGACAAACATATCTGAATATCTGATACAATACTAGTCTCTCCACCCACACACATACATAAACATCTGTACTTTATTACAAACAGTAAATCAAATAGAGCTCTACATGGGGAGATTGCAATAAAACATTAATAGCCTCTGTCATTTTAACATAAATGGCTATGCCACAGGCCCGGACTTGCCATCGGGCATACCGGGCAAATGCCCGGTGGGCCACAATGGCCATGGGCTGCACCCGACAGGGGAGATCATAGGATCTCCCCTGTCGGCCCATGGAGGGCCGGCACTAACCAAGGGCTGGCCCTTCTGTGTGCCTTCATATGCCTATGGGGAGATCAAAGATCTCACTCACTGGTCCACAGGCTGTGAAATGCAGCCTCCGGCGAGGGAGGGAGAGAGGACCTGGTGGAGCTCTTACCTGCAGCTCTGCCGAGTTCCCTTTCGCGAAATCAGAGCGTTGCTGTGGTTAACTATAGCCCCACTCTCACCACTAGGACCACCAGGGATGGCAGTACAGTCCCTCCTTCCAGGCATGAGGTAAGAAGGGAGGGAGGATTTTTTTTTTTTTTAATTAAATACATATTTAATATGTTTAAATCTACTAACACACACACAATCCCAAACATATTCACACACACACACATCACCCTCACTCTAACACTAACACCCTCACACTAACAAGCACCCTCACACAGCACTCTCAGACACACAGCACCCTCAGACACACATAGCACCCTCACACATACAGCACCCTCAGACACACACCACCCTCACACACACACACACACACACACAGCACCCTCACAAACACAGCACCATCACACACACACACAACACCCTCACACAGCACACACATTCACACTAACTGCACCCTCAGGCACATTCAGCACCCTCAGACACATACAGCACCCTCACACACACAGCAACCTCAGACACCACAGCACCCTTACACACACACACACAGCACACACACTGACACTAACAGCACCCTCAGACACACACAGCACTCTCAGACACACAGCACCCTCAGACACACACAGCACCCTTACACACACAGCATCCTCACACACACACACATCACCCTCACAAACACAACACTGTCACACACACACAACACCCTCACACAGCACACACATTCACACTAACTGCACCCTCAGGCACATTCAGCACCCTCACACATACAGCACCCTCAGACACATACAGCACCCTCACAAACACAGCACCCTTAGACACACACAGCACCCTCAGGCACCACAGCACCCTCACACACAGCACCCTTACACACACACAGCACCCTAACACACACACAGCACACACACTGACACTAACAGCACCATCAGACACACACAACACCCTCAGACACACAGCACCCTCAGACACACACCACCCTCAAACACACACCACCCTCAAACACACACAGCACCCTCACAAACACAACACCATCACACACACACATCACCCTCACATAACACATACACTCACACTAACAGCACATTCAGACACACACATCACCCTCACACATAATCTCAGACACAAACCACCCTTAGACACACATGACACCCTCAGACACACAAAGCACCCTCACACACACAGCACTCTCACACACACAGCACACTCATACACAGCACCCTCAGACACCAAGGCACCCTCACACACAGCACCCTCACACACACAAAGCACACTCACACACAGCACACACACACACAGCCCTCTCACACACACAGAACCCTCACACATACACAGCACCCTCACACAAACACACAGCACACACACAGCACCATTACACACACACACACACAGCACACACACACACATATATAATATATAAAATAAGCCTCAGTGAGTTAACAGACAAAGAAAATTAGACACAAAGAATGTGATGGAAGATAAGAACACTCTCACACACACAGCACCCCTCTTACACACACACACACACACACGCACACACATGCTGCACCTTTCACACATATACACTGCACATCCAAGACACTGCACCCCTCACACATACAAAACTTCCAAACATATAAATATATATATATATATATATATATATATACTGCAGCACCCCTCACACTGCACCACTACACACATTGCGCTCCAGATGCAAACTAGATCCCTTACCCAACTCTGGATCATCTAATCTACACACACACACACACAGACACATACATACACACACACTATACACTCTGAATCCTCTACTCACACACACACACAATCTCCTATACACACTCTGGGTCCTTTACACACTAGATCCCCTACACACAAACTGCACCTACACGCACTACATTTCTGACATACAAACTCTGGATCCCCTATGCACACATTACATTCCTTGTAATCAAACACATACTACATTCTCTAAATACACACCGTCTACAACCCCTACACACACTATGTCACCTACACACACACACGCACACTACAGCCTGTATGCACACACTCTCTACAGCCCCTAGCCACACATATTACATCAAAAACGCGAATTAAATTAACCTATTTACACAATACACCACCACAA